AAAGTTGGGAGAGATTCAAGGATCTACTCCAGTCCTGCCCACACCATGCTTTTGAGAATTGGACTTTGGTAGGATTTTTCTATGACTCCTTGCCCACTAGACTACGTCAATTTTTCGAAATGATGGCTCAATGAGAGTTTATGAGTAAGAGTTCGGAGGAGGCATTCAATTTTTTTGACACTATATCTGACAGTTCTTAGATGTGGGACTCAGCCTCCCCTACCCTTTAGGGAATTTCTAAAAATCGACCCATGGGAAGTATGACTTTCTAAAAATTGGTCTTTCTTTCCTTCGAAGATTAGGACCATATAGATCTTGAATCATTTCCATTAACTGGTTTCAATTGACCACCATATTTCTATGAACTTCAAGATTTTCAAATGGTTCCAACGGTTGGCCCCCAAGTATAGGGTTCACTTCCTATATCGAATCCATGGGAGGCATACCATGCCTTTCACAACCTCCCTAGGATGATCTTGAGTCATCCTTAACCCGTTTCTACCCCTAGGATGATAAAGTTTAGGGAAAGCATCGATTGGTTTCCCTTTAAACATCATGTTAAAATGATTTTGGCATTGAACACTGGGGACCCATGTTGGGCACCATTAAAGGTGGAAAATTAGTAGGTTGGGTTGGTTATGGGCTGGTTCAAAATGAGTTAGGTGTAAAATAAATCCAATTTCATTTTTAATTCACTTAATAAATAGGTTATAATGAGTTGGATCATAACGGGTTGAGTTAAACCCATTAACATGTATAAATAATTAAAACACATACTAACACATCGAATAAAATACACTCTAATACACAAAACAAATTACACAACAAAACACACACAGTGATGTACCAAAAATAACACATATACTAATACACCATAAATACACATACATTAATACATTAATATACCAAAAAACACAAACACATTTAATAATACACCAAAACACTAATACACCAAGATACACACATACACTAATACACCAAAATATATACACACACATTAATACAATAAAATACATATACACAACTATACAAATACACCAAAACACACAGACTAATATATCAAAACATATATAAACACGTACATTAATACACCAAAACACACACACACAGAGTAATACATCAAAAAAATATATACATATACACTACTAATAAACATACACACACATTAATACACTAAAATACATACACAAGCACACATACACTGAAATACATGCACTAATACACTAAAACATATGCTCACAAACACACACACTCACTCACATATTAACACACATACACTCATATACTAACACACACACACACATACACTCACATATTGACACACACTCACACAAAGACATACTGGCACACACACACACACAAAGACAAACTGGCACACACACACACTCTCTCTCTCTCTCTCTTGATACACATACACATTGACAAAATTTAGGGCCTTAGGCTACCAAGGATACCAGTCTAAGAATGTGTATAATCAACTTCACTTCAACTGCTAAACACGAAGGGGAATGATATAATGTCAAGAAAAAAATTTGTTTTAAGTGATTGAATTGCTCAGAAATTTCTTGTTGCATTGACCAAACAAGTACAAAGGGTGAGAAAAGTATGCAAGCAATTGCCCAGGTAGAAGAGGGTGTAGGGTTGAGTTAAAAATTGATGAATGTGAAAATGAAAATAACTTAGAACACATCCTAGTATTAGATGAATAAATAAATATTTGTCCAAAAACCATTTATCTGAAAGATAAAGGTGGATGATAGTGAGACACTTTTACACATGATTTTCAATGAATTGGAATTAACCTTCACATAAACACGATTTTCCTTCAAAATACCACAAATTATAGTAGTACATGTTTACCTATTTAGATACATGTACCAATTTGTTTATAGTCGTTTATTCAACTTGAGCCCACATGAAAATAGAGCCATAAGCACCCATAAGAATTAACAAAAGATCTCTCGTTTATTTCCCCTTACATTTAGAATAGGATTGAGGTTGGTACATGAACATCGATAATCAATGAGAGACAAAAGAAAAAATACACTTACTAGAAACTACTCCAAGTAGCTGCTCATTCATAGACCCACTTAAACCCAGAAGAATAGTTTCTAGTCATAGATTTAATTAAAAAAAATTTAAAAAAAAAATTACAGATTTAATAGAAGCATCTTCATGCATTCATAATATAGAATATATAATTCATTTATAAATTAAATATAATGTGAGACAAACTTAGCAGCTTTGGGGCATTTAATTAAACACTTTGTGGGCAAAAAATGTCAAAACTAGTCTATTAGCCAAATAAATGTCACTCAAATAACACATCCAAATAAAGACCCAAAAAAAAAAGTAACACATCCAGTTGAGGAAAAACAAAGGTAATGCTAAAAAGCAAGAGAGTGGAGATATTCGATGTAATAAGTAAATATTTTTGGAAATTTCAATCAAATAATCAGAGGGGACTCATTTGTGGAAGTATGAATGATGTAGAGAGGAGAAATTGAATGAGAAATCCCATTCGGAGTAGACATAAATTCTAGTCAGAATAGCAAGAAGAGAAAGAGAGGTGGAGTGGATTGAGAGAGAAAATTGTGCTCTCAGTTACCATCCCTACTCAGACATGGGCTAACGAGTGGTTTTTATATTCTCAGTTGTTTTTAAGAAGGAAAAACCAATGAGTACCCAATTTTAGCCCATTTTAACTCCTATAATTAAGGGAATTTTGGAGGCCGGTCCCACTATATGGACTTACGTCCGCCAAAGAAATTTACTTGCTATGAAATTCATTTTTGTGAATTTTACCAAACTATCACTTCCCTTTAGAAGTAAATTAAAACTAAATTTTAAGAGTTTGACTAAGGTGGTGTTTGATAAAACTGAAAGCTAAAAGTTGAAATTTGAAAACTGAATGTTGAATACTGAATTTGTGGACTGTTTGATATCCACTGAAACTCAAGTACTTAATTGAACTAAACTATTTGATAACTACAAAGAGTTGATGTCTAAAAATAAATTAATTTTTATTTTTACCCTTCTACTCTTTAATTTGAAATGTTTTATAAAATATGTCATAAAATAAATCAAAATCACTATTAGCATATTGTAGTCTACATTTAACAAACATCTGATCAAAATAAATAAATAAATAACATCTGAATAAAACAATAAGTGAACAATTAAATATTATCAAAAAAACAACAATAACAAATATGTGTGTGTGTGTTTAATTATTTATTATGTATATTTTTGTTGCAGAAGACAAGGAAAGGATAAGAAGAAAAAGAAGGAGACAAGGAAGAAGATTTATCTATTACCCACTGAAGTAGAGATTGGCAGGGAGGATAGATAGGTTAGAGGTTTTGAAAACAAGACTAATTAGAGTTTTAATAGGATTGTAAAATATTTTGGAGTATAATTGTGTGATATTATAAATATTATTAAAGATAGTTTTGCTGATCGCTTTCAGCTTTCAGAATTAAGTAATAAATCTTCTACTTAATATTGTAGCCTATTTTTGAGGAGCACTTAACATATTAAGAGAGTTTAAATTTTAGTTATCATACGAGCTTAATTAATAAATGCTGAATACATTCATTTTAAGTGTTGAATTTGGGTTAACAAACAACATTAAAAAAAATATTCTCTCATATCTATTAATATCCATATACAAACTAGGACAATATCTCTCTAATATATATATGGTAACACTAAAAATAAAAAATAGTAACATTCAAATACAAAAAAAAAATATCATTTAAACACAAAAAATAATACCATTTAAACAAAAAAAATAGTAACATTCAATATTAATATTTTGGTCAAATTCCAGTTTACCCCTTGTGATTTGTGCCTTGAGCAGATGACCCCCCCCCCCTATGATTTGAAAATAAGCACATCACCCCCCTGTGGTTATGAACTAAATTGCAACTCTTATGTTTTCTGTCAGAATAGATGGAAATGGAGGGGACGCGCTGGTTTGACAATAGATGAACGAAGTAATCAGCTTCCCTCCAAAATAAATATACACATATGTCAAAAATAACCCTCTAATGCTATGATAAAAGCTTAAGCTTTTCATTTCCATTGGAAGGCTAGACTTGCTGCTTTTTGGAGCTGGAGGAATGCTGTTTTCTGGAGCTAGAGGAAGGAAGCTACCATTAAAAAAGGTAATTTATTTAAGCATGTTTTTTGAGTAATATAGTGGCTAATAAATTACTATGATAAAGATTGTGCTTTTCTTATTTTCATTAGATGTCATATTCAAGCAACTCAAGGGGAGGGAAGCCTATAGATTTGAGGTTCAACACCCAAATATGTGGTTGTGGGTGTAAAGCGATAATCAAGGTGCTTGATTCTAAGAAACCATCGAAGGGAAGATTGTATTATGTTTGCGGGACTAAAAATTGTGAATTTTGGGCATGGTGTTATCCCATTTCAATTTCGAGAATCGACTGGTATGCCTGCCACTCCAAATGATGATGAAATTGCAAAAATAAGCAATAATGTGATGATGATTGAGGCTAATCAAGAAGCCATGAAGTCTGATCAAGTGGCCATGAAATATATGCTAAGGAGAATGTTTATTGCACCTGTAATTTGTTTGACAGTGTTGATTTTAGTCTTAAGTAAGAACTAAAAACTTGTTGTCTATGTTTTGAAGGATTATTTTGTCTTTAATGTAATGTGAAGGTGTTTTTTTTATTTGACACAATATCAAACATTTTCATCACAAACTTCTATGAATTGCTAGACATGTAAATACCAAATTCCCACAAGTCACAACCATCAACTAGTTGTACAAAAAAATTTCAAAAGAGAAAAATGCTCACAACCATTTTCCCATATATCCAAAAAGAAAATACATGTTCAATACAATCAAAAAAACACATACACTATGCACAATCAAAAGAGCATAGAACATATTTCCAAAAGGCTCGTTTGATATAACATAGACATAAATATTCAGACTAAATTATGACCTTTTCTTAGCCCTAATTCTATCCAATAAGTTGAATCCCAGCAATTTGAATAGGTTGGGATTGGACTAGCCTATGTGGGCCTTTGTGCTGCACTAAACCTCTGTTAACGACACCACTCCCAGAACCTCTCCCAACTGCATCACTCCTAGGACCAATAGTGCAAGCTGCAATAGAAGAAGAGGCCGTAGCAGCATTGGAGGCAGTAGCAGTATTAGAGGCTGTAGCAGCATTGGAGGCCGCACCATCAGTGGATTTCTACAATACCAAAAATGAAATTTATAATTAGTGTGTTTGAAAAAATAATGGACAAATTATATTACAAAAAATCACTCTTACCCTCAATAACTTTGATTGAGGATGGATCATGTTCTTGCATGATCGTTTGTTGTGACCAATCTTCAAGCATTTTGCACATGTGACATTAAGTTTTTTCCTAGAATCCTTATAGGAGTTTCTAGGCTCATCTGCCTCCCTTCTTCTCAATTTTTTTTGTCTTCAAGTTTGTTTCCAGAGTAATGGGGTTTCACTGGTTGTATTCCACTATGAACATAATCATGCATGCCAAGCACTAAATGTATTATGTGTGCATATGTTGACATATTTATAGTTTTGGTCTAACATTCGTGCACATGTGTCTATGGTAGCTCATGATTTTGTTGTATGGCACTTATCGAATGGCAACAAGGTATCTTAGACAACTCCCACATTCTGCAAGTACATGTTCTTGCTTTAAGATCCACTATGAACACCCTATCAAAATAGTCCACCTTAACTCAAGCCTACCACACCAAGTAGGAAAACAATTCCTCGAATCAAACTTGTTTTGTTCTAGTTTTTCCTGAATATGAGGACATATTAAACCAGAATAAGTTTCTATACCCTTTCTCTATACTTGTATTCTACTCATTAGTTTCCTCCAAATCCACTCAAACATACTAATTATGGGCATATCTCTTGTTTCAAGAATATATGAATTAAATGATTCAGATACGCTGTTCACCAAAATATCACATTTACTTCTCGTAGAGAAGTGTGATCTAGTCCACAAAGGTGGGTTGACACCCTTCAACCACTCAGCAGCATTTTTGTCAACCTGCTCTATTTTAGCCATCCAGTATTTAAAGTCATTCACACTGGTAGTTGAAGCAGCTTTCCAGAAAAAATTCTTCAACTATACACCCTTAGACTTGGCCTTGAAATTGTTATACATATGTCTGAGGCAGTATCTATGGTGTGTTGTAGGCATCATTTGATCAAATGTCTCCACAAGGCCCTTTTGTCTATCAGAAAGAAACTTCCAACCCATATCCTCATGTCTTCCCAAGTCTCTTGTCAATTCAATTAGAAACCAACTCCAATAATCTTTACACTCTGACTCAACAACTACTAGAGCAATTGGGAACATGTTATCATTTCCATCCCTACCTACTGCACTAAGTAGTTGGCCTCCATATATCCCTTTCAAATGGCAACCATCAAGACCTATAATAGTTCTACAACCTAGAACAAATTCTTCTTTCATGGCTCCCAACCTCCAATACATTCTCTAAAAGGTTGGTTGCAATGCTCCATGTTCAGGCTTCAATAGAAATGTGATATCGGGGTTATGTTTCCAAATTGTCTAATAGTAGTCCCATAGTCTAACATATTGTTCAACCACATCACCCACTATTACATCTTTAGCCTTCCTTTTCACCCTGTAACATTGAAACCTGCTTGAATTCAACATTATGTCTCTCTTTATTTTCTTTCCAAATGAGGCAACATTTATGCTAGAATTATCTCTCACATCATCCACATACTTGGTTCCCAAATAGCCTGAGTTGGCTTGCTTGTTCTCATAGTGCCTACCACATGAATGTGAGCTTTTTAGTGTCTTCAACTAAAAATTTTTGCTCCCTCCAGTTGGTGAAGCATGTATCCACCAGTCACACCCATACTTGCAAATAGCAGTGATTCTCCTATTCTCATTCTTCATGTATTTGATGTCATACCCATTCTTCACATTGTATTCCCTAAGTAGTTCTCTAAAAGCCTGAGGAGATGGAAATTTCATCCCAACCACANAAAAGGTTGGTTGCAATGCTCCATGTTCAGGCTTCAATAGAAATGTGATATCGGGGTTATGTTTCCAAATTGTCTAATAGTAGTCCCATAGTCTAACATATTGTTCAACCACATCACCCACTATTACATCTTTAGCCTTCCTTTTCACCCTGTAACATTGAAACCTGCTTGAATTCAACATTATGTCTCTCTTTATTTTCTTTCCAAATGAGGCAACATTTATGCTAGAATTATCTCTCACATCATCCACATACTTGGTTCCCAAATAGCCTGAGTTGGCTTGCTTGTTCTCATAGTNTATTTTCTTTCCAAATGAGGCAACATTTATGCTAGAATTATCTCTCACATCATCCACATACTTGGTTCCCAAATAGCCTGAGTTGGCTTGCTTGTTCTCATAGTGCCTACCACATGAATGTGAGCTTTTTAGTGTCTTCAACTAAAAATTTTTGCTCCCTCCAGTTGGTGAAGCATGTATCCACCAGTCACACCCATACTTGCAAATAGCAGTGATTCTCCTGTTCTCATTCTTCATGTATTTGATGTCATACCCATTCTTCACATTGTATTCCCTAAGTAGTTCTCTAAAAGCCTGAGGAGATGGAAATTTCATCCCAACCACAAGTTTGGGATCAAGCATCATTCTCTAACTGAACTCGGGGTAACCATCACCTTTTTCATCAGAAGACCCTTTTAGACTTAGTAGCTCCTCTTCATTTCGTATCTTAGAACACCATTCCTCATCCACTTGCAAATTTACATTTGACTGAGATGTTCCAACATCTTGATTAACAGATGCTTCAACCCCATTAGGTGGAAAGTCACTTTAGAAAATGTCATCATCATCTGGACCTTCTATGTCTTCATAAATCCAAATAGGGTCCTAACTATACTCGTCACTATCATAACATTTAGAGGTATTCGCTACATAGTCACTGTCATTAGAATCAGTCTTAAGTGTATCACTGTTTTCAATCTGTTCGTTGACATTAACATCAACTTCATCATCCATAGTATTCACAGTATCCCTTGCACAATCTTATCATAACACAGATTGTAGATCATCACCCTTGTCAATGTATATTACAACTACTAGCTAATCTTCATAACATTTTAGTAACTCGATAACATCACAGACTGACCTCATTTTCTTTACGCCCATGTCCAAACTGTACCCAAGAACCCTATAATATATGTCAAGATTCACCCCTTCTCCTCCTAATGATACATACATGTATATAATCTCAAGAAAAAAAAATTTGTTTGGTTCATAGTCTTTAANGTCTTCATAACATTTTAGTAACTCGATAACATCATAGACTGACCTCATTTTCTTTACGCCCATGTCCAAACTGTACCCAAGAACCCTATAATATATGTCAAGATTCACCCCTTCTCCTCCCAATTATACATACATGTATATAATCTCAAGAAAAAAAAATTTGTTTGGTTCATAGTCTTTAATAATACTTACAGTAGCACCTTTTGTAAACAATTTTTGGTGTCCATATGAACTTTCCCCCATGATGCAATTCGACAAAAATTTGTTCGAACCCATTCTGCATTAAAAGATGTACATTAATACAATAAACAAAATAGTGGGGAAACCTCTATCACCTGTTACCCATCCAAAATCACCATACAACATGTGGTAGGACCACAAACTAGAAAAAATAACCACAAATGGAACCGTTGGTATGACCACAAAGCANCCCAACTCATTCTGCATTAAAAGATGTACATTAATACAATAAACAAAATAGTGGGGAAACCTCTATCACCTGTTACCCATCCAAAATCACCATACAACATGTGGTAGGACCACAAACTAGAAAAAATAACCACAAATGGAACCGTTGGTATGACCACAAAGCAAAAAANTCGAACCCATTCTGCATTAAAAGATGTACATTAATACAATAAACAAAATAGTGGGGAAACCTCTATCACCTGTTACCCATCCAAAATCACCATACAACATGTGGTAGGACCACAAACTAGAAAAAATAACCACAAATGGAACCGTTGGTATGACCACAAAGCAAAAAAAAACCAAATATTTAAAATACAAATCCTTAGTGGCAGGACCACTAAGCCAATAAAGAACAAATCTATGCCACAAAAACAAAACAAATATGAAAATTTGATACATTTTTTTACACACATAACTCGATGCATAACTTAGCATTTAAGGAAAACTGGAAATAAGCTAACCTTATTTTTTGCCCTGACTTTTCATAAAAATTCAATGCAGATGGAATGTTGGCGTCATTTTTGGCCTTGAATCTTCTGCCTATTTAACTAGGCAATCAAAGCCCTAACTTCAAATCATCAAGAAATTGAAGCCTTAACTTCAATTCATAAGGAAATCGAAGCCCTAAATTGAACTCTACTTTTTGCCTTAATATTCTACTTTACTTCGAGCATTTTTGGGTTCAAGGGCTATGGTTGCGGTTCCAAAATTCTGGCCTCCAAGTTGTGAGTCCAAGGGCTGGTAGAGAGAGAGACTTCATGCATTCTTGGGTATATGACAATTAAGGCTGAGATTTATGGGTAGATGGTGTGCATCGTTCACAACCAATATTAATTCCTTACCTCTACACTACAAATATAGCAATGGCAAGTAAGGGTCAATGATTAGTACTTAAATTTAGCATATTACTATGCTTTTTTAGGACTAATTGTACTTTNCAAGGGTCAATGATTAGTACTTAAATTTAGCATATTACTATGTTTTTTTAGGACTAATTGTACTTTGATGGAGTTTAAGTGATGACATTTCAGGTCCTAAAGTGAACAAGAGCTCAAGAACAACAAAAATCACACTTATATGTAACACCAACATATTGGGGACAAAATTGGAGAAGCTTGGAACAAAGCAAGAACGTTCAAATGCCAACTCACGTTCGAATGTCCACTTGAACTATGAAAAGACTAGATTTCTGAGACATGGCGTGTTGCATCCAAGAAGGAAGACCTTGAAGTACTTGAGTACCACGTTCGAACGTCCACTTGAATTGATTGAATACCAGGGTGATGATTGCAAAGTGTCAAGTTCTGCATAGAGTGTGGAAATAGGTTTCNTGTCCACTTGAACTATGAAAAGACTAGATTTCTGAGACATGGCGTGTTGCAGCCAAGAAGGAAGACCTTGAAGTACTTGAGTACCACGTTCGAACGTCCACTTGAATTGATTGAATACCAGGGTGATGATTGCAAAGTGTCAAGTTCTGCATAGAGTGTGGAAATAGGTTTCCACAGAAGACCACAGGCCACTTGAGTGAGAGGATCAAACCCCATCTGGTGTTCAAACGTCCATAAATCAAAGACAGAAGAAACATTCGAACGCCCATAAAGCATAAACAGAAACCACGTTCGAACACCAACTCACATTGGAACGTTCTCCACAGACAGACTGCAGAGTAGTTGGCTTTCACTTGGACTTGGGCGGCATACACTATTCTTTCACCACCCCCCTCCTCCTCCTTGCCTATAAATACTCCCATTGTGGGAGCTTCATGGAGACTTGGATAGATANCGAACGTTCTCCACAAACAGACTGCAAAGTAGTTGGCTTTCACTTGGACTTGGGCGGCATACACTATTCTTTCACCACCCCCCTCCTCCTCCTTGCCTATAAATACTCCCATTGTGGGAGCTTCATGGAGACTTGGATAGATAAGNATAGGTTTCCACAGAAGACCACAGGCCACTTGAGTGAGAGGATCAAACCCCATCTGGTGTTCAAACGTCCATAAATCAAAGACAGAAGAAACATTCGAACGCCCATAAAGCATAAACAGAAACCACGTTCGAACACCAACTCACATTGGAACGTTCTCCACAGACAGACTGCAGAGTAGTTGGCTTTCACTTGGACTTGGGCGGCATACACTATTCTTTCACCACCCCCCTCCTCCTCCTTGCCTATAAATACTCCCATTGTGGGAGCTTCATGGAGACTTGGATAGATAAGGAGCTTGATGGAGGCTTAGACTCCCACTCATGTAGCTAGCTTTAGAGATATATTTGCTTATATCAAGGGAGATAGTTCATCTTTTGGTTCAGGAAGCAACCCTCCATTTCTTGGTAGAGGAAGCCACCATCCAAATGTGACTAGCTTTCTTCTACTTTTATTGTTCATATCTTTCACTTCCATAGCTTGAGCTTACTTCTTTCTTAGAGGAGTAAAACTTTTTCACCTTTCTAGAGCTTTACCAAAGCCGTGAAGGGTGGAACGTGATTCACTCATTCTTCGTTGAAGACTGGCTCCTTGTTTATTGTGCTTTCATTTTGTAACTCCTCTACTTTGAGGGATGAGTATCACTCACTTTTCTAGCTTTACCCAAGCCATGAAGAGTGAGTGGTTCCTCATTCACTCTTTAGTAAGAGGTGATGAACATGTATTGATTATCTAGAAGTTNGATGAACATATATTGATTATCTAGAAGTTATATTTGTGCATTTCCTTTATGCTTTAATACTTTATATTTCACTTGTTGAATGATTGAATGCATTTAGCAAAGCAAAGGTACTTTGTATAACTATGGGTTCTTTCTATGGTACAGATGACTCTTGCATGGAAAGACCCATTAGTTCAAGGCAAATACCCCGGTTAGATCTTCATGACGACATTTCAATCTTCACCATAATTGTACTTTATTTAAAGAATGGAACATTAATGCCATGGTTGCATACCTTGTAGAAACACTTGCTTGTTTGTAAACAGGTTAAGTCTTGGCACAGACAATTCTTGTAAACTTATAGAAAGGCATCGGAACCATGTGCTTAATTCACACAGTCCATCTTTATCTTTCGATTAACTTGTTGTTGACATGGGAGTTAATTGAGTTATAAAGCACAAGTATAAGAAACCAGATGATTTCTTTCATATTCTGATCCTCGAGCTAAAGGGTGACTGTTTCACATTTGAATTTATCTTATATTTTGTCTAAAAAATACATGAAAAGAATCTTATATTCTAATTCATGAAATCCCATAACTTCAAACTTGCAAAGTTTCCAGTTACTTGGTCTTTGTCACTGCTTATTTCAAAACACTAATCATAGTTCTCTGTGGATTCGACTTTGGACTTAACCGGAATATTACTACTGCTTGATTGCCTGCACTTGGGTGTACACATTTCGGATCAAGTCAAGTTTTTGGCGCTATTGTCAGGAAACCATAAAAGGTGTTTTAAGGTAAAAGGTAAAAAGACCTCTCTTTTTGTATAGATACTTGTCTCACTGTGTATAACTTTATTTTAATTTTATGTCTGAGGACGCTCCTCACTATCAAAATTTGTCAGCAAAATCTTATGGATCTATGAATCAACCGGAACCACCTTCACCTAGATCTGTAGCAGAATCTTGTGAAAGTAGAATGGCAAATGATGAGAGACAAGGAGAAATTCTTGTGAGAGAGGGGGAAGTGCCTAACATTCAAACTCTATGGAATTACTTAAATCCCATAAGAAATAGTGTCCTCTCTTGTTTTATCTTTCTTGGAAATGCACCTCTTTTTACTGTAAAGACGGGGACAGTTCAACTACTCCCTCAATTCCATGGACTCAACACAGAAAACTCATATCTGCGCATAAAAGAATTTGAGGAAGTATGTGGAACCTTTCAAGACAATTATGAGCTAGCCAAAATGAAACTTTTTTCATTTTCTCTAAAGGATAAAGCTAAGTAATAGCTAAATTCTTTAAAAGCTCTTTCAATACCTGACTAGCGGGCACTACAAAATAAATTTTTCAAAAACTTTTTTTCCTCTACACTGCACTAATGCACTAAAAAGCCAAATCATGAATTTTTCGGTCAAAGAAGGAGAAACCTTTTACCAAAGTTGGGAGAGATTCAAAGATCTACTTCAATCCTGTCCACACCATGCTTTTGAGAATTGGACTTTGGTAGGATTCTTTTATGACTCCTTACCCACTAGACTACGTCAGTTTGTCAAAATGAGGGCTCAAGGAGAATTCATGGGTAAAACTCCAGAGGAGGCATTCAATTTTTTTTGACACCATATCTGACAGTTCTCAGATGTGGGACTCAGTCTCCCCTACCATTGTTGAAGCCAAACCATCTACTTCCCAAGGGGGTAAGTATGTCTTGAGAAATGATGATGACCTAAGAGCGAAAATGTCCACCCTATCTCGAAAGCTTGAAGCTTTACAGATGAAAAAGGTTCATCAAGTTGATGTTGGCCCTCCCACAGAACAAGTGTGTGGGA